GACATATTTCAAAATGGCTTCCATTATCCCCGCCCCCCATGAAGTCGGCCATTTTGAAATATGTCCATTTTAAGCGCATTTTCGCATACTTCTCCTAGGAAAATGATCGGAACAATTTCAAACCAGGACAAGATCTGCCCATATCCAATGTGATGCTAAATTGCGAATGAATAGTTGACTGCTCAAACAGGGAGCTCGTAAGCTAACAGAACATGTACCAATTTTGACGATTTAAATGCCACAAAATCGCTAAAATTACTTTCGGACGCAAAACTTGGAACACACGTCACAACCCACGTCTTTTTCCAGACTGTACAAAAAAATCGTACGTTTTTGTACACCAGCTCAGTAGCGCCCCCTATTGTGCGATAGTCGCATATAGTTTCTCCAAACTACCCGAATCTTGCCACAGACATTACTGATGGAATTGCGGACATATTTTGAAAAATCGGTGTTATTCATGCATTTAAGCGCATTTTCGCAAACACCTCCTCGGGAAAAGATAGGAACAATTCCAGTCCAGGACAAGTTAAGCCCATATCCAATATCATGTTAAATTGCGAATAAAATAGTTGCTAGCTCAATCGGGGCGAACGTAAGCTAACAGAGAATGTACCATTTTTGACAATTGACATGTCTCAAATGACTCCAAACTACTCGCATATAGTTTTCCAGATATTCACGAAATGCTGTATACACATTGCTATTATGATGGCACACACATTTACCAGCAACAGCTCTGCTTATTAATTTCCCACATGAACCATAAACACCCAATACATATAAAAGTCCAAAACAATGTATGGTGAAATGTTTTCCATCTTTGTTTTTCTATCTACGACTGCAAACAGTCTTTCCACTACAAGCAGAACAGTAACAAATCTTTCTATGCAATACAATAGAACACATAATTTAAACCAGCAGATGTAAACAGAGGAGAACAGACGACGCTGAAGTTGGCTTCAGATTCAGAGCATCCGATTCGGCAGTTAAGGGGAAAGTTAAGGGACATTTAATTTACAGCGCTGAGCGAACAATCCTCCGTGTTTGAACCTCTTAAATCGCTGCATACCCGATTTATTTGGACTGGATTATCCCAGAGGGTCTAAATATTCTTTATAACCCAGTTTGAGATTTGTGAAACCTTTATTCTATTTGTGAAAATACAAACAAGGGAGATTTCAGTGCTTTTTTCGCATCCTGACCACATTAGACCAGGTCCTGATCTAAAACCACTAGACCTAGACTCATCAAATCTGGACTGGATTATCCCACGGAGGCTAACAATTCTTTATAACACAGTTTGAGATTTGTGAAACCTTTATTCTATTTGTGAAAATACAAACAAGGGAGATTTCAGATTCTTTTTTCGCATCCTGACCACATTAGACCAGGTCCTGATCTAAAACCACTAGACCTAGACTCATCAAATCTGGACTGGATTATCCCACGGAGGCTAAAGATTCTTTATAACACAGTTTCAGATTTGTGAAACCTTTATTCTATTTGTGAAAATACAAACAAGGGAGATTTCAGTGCTTTTTTTCGCATCCTGACCACATTAGACCAGGTCCTGATCTAAAACCACTAGACCTAGACTCATCAAATCTGGACTGGATTATCCCACGGAGGCTAAAGATTCTTTATAACACAGTTTCAGATTTGTGAAACCTTTATTCTATTTGTGAAAATACAAACAAGGGAGATTTCAGTGCTTTTTTCGCATCCTGACCACATTAGACCAGGTCCTGATCTAAAACCACTAGACCTAGACTCATCAAATCTGGACTGGATTATCCCACGGAGGCTAAAGATTCTTTATAACACAGTTTCAGATTTGTGAAACCTTTATTCTATTTGTGAAAATACAAAAAAGGGAGATTTCAGTGCTTTTTTTTACATGTAGACCACATTAGACCAGGTCCTGATCTGAAACCACTAGACCTAGACTCATCAAATATAGACTAGATTATCCCAGAGGGTCTAAGGATTATTTATAACCCAGTTTCAGATTTGTGAAACCTTTATTCTATTTGTGAAAATACAAAAAAGGGAGATTTCAGTGCTTTTTTTACATGTAGACCACATTAGACCAGGTCCTGATCTGAAACCACTAGACCTAGACTCATCAAATCTGGACTGGATTATCCCAAGGAGGCTAAAGATTCTTTATAACCCAGTTTGAGATTTGTGAAACCTTAATTATATTTATGAAAATACAAACACAGGTGGAAGGCTGAGGTTGTTGCTGCAGGCCAGGATCAGGATCAGAAAGTGAACCTCCCAGCTGGGCAAGCCTGTATGCCTTCTTGAGGCTCCGCCTCTAGATGGGCGGGCACAGACAGGAGGACACTCCCAGTACCTGCCAGAGGACAGCAAGGCAGAAGGGGGAAGGGGTCGTCACAACATGTTCTTTTGTTTTGTTTTATTGTTCTGTCTTTTTATTTATTTAAGTATTCCAGTAATGTATGTTGCATGTTTTAATTTGATTGTATTTACTTGTTTAAATGAAATTTGTTTTAGGTTCACTTCCCTTTCATCTGTTGTCCAGGGACAACAGATGAAAAATAGCCTCTTGGCTAACTCTGGCACATTTACAGGAATGTTAATTAATGTGCACTGTCCCTGTTAAACAAATGAATAAATAAATAAAAATAAGTGTATGCTCCTCATTTAGGTGATAATTCTTTATCTAGAAGGTTTTCGTATCTTAAATACTGTTTCATAGCAAACAAAAAAATGAAAGACATGTTAAAGGAATTCAGGTTCATGAGATAAAGAAAAAGGCTAACCTTCAGTCTTTCATCCACTTTGAACAGCTTCTGCTGCTTTGTCCTAAAGCAAAAAATATGAATAGCAATTATTTTTCTGAGAGAGAAGACAGGATTACAATGAACCAACTTTCTCATACCATTGTTAACAAAGTGTTATTTTCTAATCTTGTAATGTTTTTCACATTCCAAGCAATCCTAGTACTCAAGATGACATACTGTAATTAGGCAAACAAAGCTTGTTGCTTAAAGTAAACTTGAACAATGCTAGTTATAGACTATATTTAATTTCCTGTTTAAATGTTTTGCCTGCAACTGTAAATACATTAAGTTTATATAAGTATACCTACTTATCTGTTGAATTTGTATTTGCAACAAAACATTATAATACATTTGAGAAGTAAAGACTTTATTCTTCATTAATTAGCTGTACATACTTACCCGATTTGATGAGTGTAGGTCTAGTGGTTTCAGATCAGGACCTGGTCTAATGCGGTCTACATGTAAAAAAAAAGCACTGCAATCTCCCTTGTTTGTATTTTCACAAATAGAATAAAGGTTTCACAAATCTGAAACTGGGTTATAAAGAATCTTTAGACCCTCTGGGATAATCCAGTCCAGATTTGACGAGTCTAGGAAAAGTGGTTTTAGATCAGGACCTGGTCTAATGTGGTCAGGATGCGAAAAAAAGCACTGAAATCTCCCTTGTTTGTATTTTCACAAATAGAATAAAGGTTTCACAAATCTCAAACTGGGTTATAAAGAATCTTTAGACTCTCTGGGATAATCCAGTCCAGATTTGATGAGTTTAGGTCTAGTGGTTTTAGATCAGGACCTGGTCTAATGTGGTGAAGATGTGAAAAAAGCACTGAAATCTCCCTTTTTTAAATTTTCACAAATAGAATAAAGGTTTCACAAATCTCAAACTGGGTTATAAAGAATCTTTAGACTCTCTGGGATAATCCAGTCCAAATACATCGGCTATGCAGAGATTTAAGAGGTTCAAACACGGATGATTGTTCGCTCAGCGCTGTAAATTAAATGTCCCTTAACTTTCCCCTTAACTGCCGAATCGGATGCTTTGAATCGGAAGCCAACTTCAGCGTCGTGGAGAACAGCCGGTCTGATTTAGTGTCATGTGATTATCCTGTAATGAGTAACATACACGGTGTTGATCGGCTATATAAACAGTTCATTTATTGTCTCGATACATGTGTTGTGTAAGACATTTGAATCAATTTGATATGTCAATATTAAATGTACCTTTATTTTGAAAAACTTTATTGTGAAGGACAAACCGGATGTCACATTTCCGGTATTGCCGGTTTAGGGAGAGACTTAATTCAGGTAGCTTGCCTTGGCTGTGTGTGTGCGCGGAGGTTTTGTCGTCAACAGACTCATTAAACTTCTCGGTACATAGAAACCCTGCTCCACTTTGTCAAACGTGAGTAATATAGCAATTGGTGTGTTATACTGAAATGTGTTGACGTTGTATGCTTTTCATTGGAACAAGCGGTGGGTGTGTGCATTACTAATGCTAGTTAAGCTAATGAAGCAGGTCCATGCTACCTCACGCGGATAGCAATGCCTTTGAAAACCAGTTTAGACCAGACAAAGAGCTATGTTAGCCTAGCGCATGTTAGTAGCTAGCGCCACTTGTTTTGATGTACGTTTTTGTTGATAACCTCGCGAGTTTGTATCTTTCAGTGTTGAGGTGGGCACCGTTAGATTCTGTGTCTTTACGGTCATAAACAATGTGTTGGATATGGAGCTAGGATAAGTAATAAGGGAGCTAGGAGTGATTTTCGGTGCAGTAATAGGTTAGCATTTTTCGCTCGGGGCTAATTCAGAGGCTCACTGTTAGCATTGTGTTTTTTTGAAAAAATAAATGAAAAATATCAGTTAAATGAGTTTTTTCCCCTTATATGGATGTAAAATATTCATAGTTTATTAAATATTAAGGTTCCTTAGACGTTGTTTCCTGCAAATGACGCGATTTCGGGTCCGTGGGGCCTAAGAGGATAACAGAGTAGCCTATGTTTGTTTTTTTTGTTTTTTTCACAACAGTTGTATTTGGATGGAATGAATACCTAAAGTGATAATTCAAAGTAATACAATTATTTTTACAGTGAAAAAGTTCAAATGGAACTGATGGTTCCCAAATTACCCAGAGGTGAGTCCGCCTGGACTTTATTTTTCTAAACCTCTCTAAAAAGGTCAAATGTCACTTGTTTTGCATCAATCTTGATACAGGGTACTTATTATATGTTATAGTTTGCAGAGCTGCTAAGTCTCACCCTTTGAGAGTGAGAGTCACACAATTTAACCTCTTCACACGCCTCACGCCACACTTGCCATTTCACACGATGTTTCCCCCCTCTCACTACTTTATAATTATTTTTTTATTTAATGATATATTTCCATAACTTGTTGCTTGAGGCTTGCCGTAGTTCGAATCAGGGACAGGGTGAGTCCGCCCTATTCTGCCCCCGATTGGCTGACCGAGATATGTGATAACCAATCATCAGCCCTCGAGGCTAAATCTAACCAACCCAACAAAAGGCACCACGTATACAAACCAATCAGAGGCAGCTTAGGGCGGGTCATTGCGTCTCTATCCTATGAAGAACAACCTAACTCTATGGCGGAGAAATCGAAAAGTAAACGTGAAACGTCTGTGTCAGCGCCTCAATAATGCCGTGACTGACATTTTCATCTGAAGCGGGAGGTCAAACGGTAGGTAACCACATTATTTTTACAAATATTTTTATTTTGATGAAGTCAACGGTGGGTCTGACTACGTGAGACTGAACGTTACACAGGCTGCTGGTGAGCAGTGTGGCAGGTTGCTGCGGTGGGTTTAACAACAAACAACCTTGACTAATAGCAGTGTTAGTTAAATCATCACGTATTTGCGTGTGTGAGCTAATGGATACTTACTATGAGCTAAGGGAATTTACAGTACTGTACCTGTGCTGTTTGCTTTTCTGTCTAATAAAATATTCAATCAATCAAACAGTTACATGTAGCTATATTTTGATCCAGAGGATCTGACTGTGGATGTGGGATACTGGTTTAAAGGAAGCACCAATACAGTATGCTAGTAATAATGTACTATGTTTGTTCCTTTCTCATTAGCAATCTACTTCTAGGTTAAATGTAATTTTGAAAAAATCTTTTCTGAAATACAAATTTGTAGATACAGAGTTTCATCCGCAAGTTGCTCTCGAAGTTTCTGAAGCCAACAGCACTGCAGCACCGGGAATTGCATGAAATCCTCTATAAGGACCCATCAAACCAACTGCCAGGTAATCCTCCAAGTTTCACATCAGCAGATGCACATACACTTTCCACTCACTGATCTCACTCACATCATACTGTTTGTGTTTGTTAGAGGAAAGCTTGTGCAGACAAGTTATGAGTTTGATAATCTCATCTCATCACACACGACCACAATGGAAACAAGTCCACAGGACTTTCCTATGTTATCCTTTTAGCCCAAATGTGTGACTGTACCTTGTGCTGTTTGCATTTCTGTCTAATAAAGTATTCAATCAATCAATCAATCACTGATGTGATGAAGATACTTAAAGGGGTGCTTTCAAGTTAGCTTTTGTGGTTGTTGATGATTGCTAAAGGGACTCAACACCGGTCTTATTCCCAGTCTCATACTGACATGTTGGTGTTGGGAATGAGAACATATTGCATCAATCTTTCTCCAGAATCGCATACAGCACCTTAATGACCTCTGTGACGTTGTTGATTTATTGTGTCTCTCGTAGGAGAAAAGCTGGTGATCGGCTTCACTACTCGAGCTACACTCAACAGGCTCCTTGATGCAGGAGACATTACACTGCAGCAAGTGCAGAGGTTCCAGCAGGCAGCAGTGGCGTTTCTGGTGAGGGCTGTGGAGTATGCCATGAAGAAACTCCACATGAGAGAGCCCCTGATAAAACATGCCATGTTTCTGGATGTCCAGCAGAGGGTAGAGTGTGGAGTGGAAAATGCCTTGTACTTTATCGACAAGTCAAGTACATTTATCTATAGTGCCAAATCACAACACAAGTTATCTCAATATACTTAATAAGTAGAGCAGGTTAAAGACTCTTGGCTCTTGTCACATGTTCTTAACATTTTCTTAATAGATTGTAAAGTTTAATTACCACATCTGAAAAACAACCCGTTTCAGCTACATTACTTTACCAGATCAGTGCACATTGTGTTCTTTTTAGGTTTTGTTACATTCCCTTGTAGATCTAGGGGTACCAAGGGAAGTAGCGACACACAAGATAGCCGGACGAGAGAAAAAGGAGAGGAAACTGAATGCTGAAGGAGTTTAAGTGAGGTTTTAATTAGTAAATAAGTAAGGCGGCTCACCAGCCAAATGACAAAACAAACTTACAATAAACAACACACAACTATGCTGGGTCTCACACAGAGACATGCTGCACACATGCAGCCAGATGAGAAGGAGAGAAAAGGCCTCTCACTGCCGTCCTCCTCCGGTCCTATATGGAAGCCCTGATTGTCAATTAGGAGCACCTGGGGAGAGGCTGCACCTGGGGACAATCAGAGGGAGAGAGAGGAAAACACACACACACACTACGGCACGTAACACTTCCCCCCATAAAACCAAACCAGTGTTTGGTCACAGTTACCAACAACACTCATTACATAATTCACAAGCATACTATAGAATGCTTGGAAGCTGCCACCTGCTGCTTCCAAGCCACACACTCCGCCACTAAATGACCCGGGTCAAGACAATAAAAACACAATCTCTTAGTGTCGGGACCTGGGAGAGCAACAGAATGAGCACGTGTAACACGTCTGTTACGAGCCCTACAGTGAGGATAACTGCCCTGAGGATACACTTTACCCCCGGCTATATCATTACCCATTATGACATCCACACCGTCGACAGGAAATTTGGGGAGCACAGCAACTGGAAAGAAACCAGTAGCCAGTTTGGACTGGACATGGACCTTGTGGAGAGGTGCAGGCACAAAACCAATTTCAATACCTCTTACCACGGCACTTACATCACAGGCGGACTCATTACTCAAGGGCAGGGCACTCGCAAAATTGAACGACTGTGAGCCGCCACTGTCTCGTAACATAGTAACCTGCCACTGATCCTCCACCTTCCCTGACAGAGAGACAAAAGCATTGGAGATGAATGGCTTAAAACACTCATCAGGGCCCATTTTAACAGTGACCTGCCTACTAGGACACACTGTTTTAATCAAGCCCACCCCTTTTGGGTGCTTGCCACCTGCTGCCCGCTCTCGCTTCCAAGCTGCACAGTCTGCTATCATATGACCTGGGTCAAGACAAAAATAACAAGCTCTGTCTATCCTGGGACCTAACAATGGAACACTGGCACAGGGAACATAATTGTCAGGAGCTCTCCGATAAGTGTCCCGCTGAGGAGGATCCCGCTGAAAAAAACCACTCTTGTTTATCAGCGCAAACTCGTCTGCCAGAGTGGCAGCCTGCTGAAGGGTAGTCACTTTCTGCTCATTCAGGTAGACTACCGTACGCTCCGGTACACCGTTTTTAAACTCCTCTAACATCATCAGCTCACAGACTTAAGTAATGTCATCAGCTTTACACGCTCTACACCACCTGTCAAAGAGGACTTTCTTCTCCCTCGCGAAGTCCACGTATGTTTGGCCAGAAGCTTTCTTCATGCCGCGAAAACGCTGCCTGTAGACCTCAGGCACAAGCTCATATGCCCTGAGAATAGCACCTTTCACCTTGACATACTCCAAACTATCCTCAACAGAAAGAGAAGAGCAAGCCGCTTGAGCCTTGCCGACTAGCTTGCACTGTAAAAGAATAGCCCACACGTCTTCTGGCCAATGCAGGGCAGCAGCAATGCGCTCGAATGCACCAAAATAGACTTCCACCTCTGATTTCCGAAACACAGGGACCAAATAAATATGCCGGCTCACGTCAAAGGAGGCAGCAGGACCAGAAGGTGTAACTGCAGAATCACCCACCACAGCTGCTTGGAGCTCTAGCTAACGCATCCGGACAGCAGTGTCTGCCTCCAACTTCCTGATCTCCATCTCCTTCCTGAGCTGAAACTCTCGCTCACGCTCCTCCCTCTCACACTGGAGACGAGCCATACGCACTTTTACCCTGGCATCTCATTTAGACCCCGTAGGTGAGGATCCTGCCGAAAACGAGTCAAACTGAGGTGTGGTGAAAATGTTTGCCTGTTCCGTAGCACTCTGAACCACCGTGCCAGGAGATTCCACTAAAGCAGGCCGCCTCAAAACCCCCTGTTCAACTAGTCCAGTTATCAAAGTAGCCTTGAGTTCACTTTTTACCAGAGCCGAGGAGACAGAAACATGATAATGGTCAGCAACTAACCGCAAATCAACCTTCCTGCACCCGTCTAGCTGACCCACAGTAGGACTGGCCACAAACTGCTCCACCACAAAAACCATCCTTAGCAACGGCTACTTACAAATATTATTATTTATTTATTTACAAACTTCCCCAGATCCTGCCTACCAAACTTTACCTAACTATCTTCTGGAGCGTGCCGGGCTCGAGGCGACTTTAAAGGCAAACATCAGCGGCCGAAACCCTGAATCGCCTGCCCCCAACAGGGAATAAATCCCCACCCAGGATTACCCCGAAAATAAAAAAGGCAAAATAAAAAATGAGTGCCTGAAGGAAGGACTGATTCAGTCCAGCTAGACACTCCCCTCTCTAAACTGAGGAAGATGTTCAACAGTAAATAATTTCACAGCCAATTCTACACTTATATACACTACTGCTCACCACCAAACACAATATCAACACTAACCAACAACCAAATACTCACTCTTTGTCTCAAAGATTGGACGAGCCCCCATGTTACGTTCCCTTGTAGATCTAGGGGTACCAAGGGAAGTAGCGACACACAAGATAGCCGGACGAGAGAAAAAGGAGAGGAAACTGAATGCTGAAGGAGTTTAAGTGAGGTTTTAATTAGTAAATAAGTAAGGCGGCTCACCAGCCAAATGACAAAACAAACTTACAATAAACAACACACAACTATGCTGGGTCTCACACAGAGAATGCAGCCAGATGAGAAGGAGAGAAAAGGCCTCTCACTGCCGTCCTCCTCCGGTCCTATATAGAAGCCATAAGCCCTGATTGTCAATTAGGAGCACCTGGGGAGAGGCTGCACCTGGGGACAATCAGAGGGAGAGAGAGGAAAACACACACACACGGACACACACTACGGCACGTAACAGGTTTCCTGAACTTCTCCCATACAACGGACCTGACAAGCGTGACAAACTGAGTGAGGAGTTTCTGGACTACCAGTCCATGGACATTGCCATGCCCGAAGACCCAGCCACGTTCGACATTGAGAGCTTTTGGGGGAACATGGCATCAATGAAGAAGAAGGTAAGAATTATTCTGCACCCTTTGCAATACCCATTGACGTAATCAACTTAATTCTATACAAAAATACTTGAGAGTAATTAGGCTTCCTACATTTTTCAAAGGTGACCGGTATGAGCAGATTTGGGAGGCTCTCCCGTATTGCCAAGTTGGTGTTGGTACTTCCACATTCAAATGCTGATGCTGAACGAGTGTTCTCTGTGGTGGGATTGAACAAAACCCGAAAAACTGTTTGGCTCTTGATGGAACTCTATCATCCATCATGACTGTGAAGATGGCAAACCTTGAGCCACAGTGTTTCAAATGGGAGCCCCCTCCCTCTGTCATCAAGGCATCAACATCTGCCACAAACACCTACAACATGAGACATGTCATGTAAACCAACACACACAAACAAAGACATGCACTTTATTTATTTATTATTAATTTTGTTACTCTTAAAAAAAAAATGCACTAAGGAAAAGGCTGCTATTGGTTCTTAAAAGGCTGCTATTGTTTCTTAAAAGGCTGCTATGTTTTCTTTATATTGAAATTTTATAAATAAATGTATTTTATTTGTCAAACTTTTATTTGTTACAATTGTTTTCATTTCTACTTGTGCTGGTCAATTATTAACACTATATAAGCATGAGGAGGCCGACAGTGCAGGGAGAGCAGCTGGCATGGGGGTGAAGACATCACAACGTTCATTTAAATTGAGATATTCCTCTAAATCGACATTAAAAAAGGCAACAAAAAAAATCGAAACGCATCTTCCCCCGAAAGTCTCACTCCTACTTTTTACTGAAACTTGGCAGCCCTGAGTTTGGATTCCTAAAGCTTTTACTCTACTAACCCATCATTCAAGGGGGGTTTTCACTATAAGTAATGGGTTTTTTTTAGGCGGACATTAGAATTTACATGTTTTTACTATGTTCCATCTGAATTTACTTTAAAATAAAAACATCTATATTGTACGGTGGCCCTGAAGTGCAAGACACCACAGCATTTCACAAAACACAACAGCATTTCACAAAACGCCACAGCATCTCAGAAAACACAACAGCATTTCAGAAAACACAACAGCATTTCACAAAACGCCACAGCATTTCACAAAACGCCACAGCATTTCACAAAACACAACAGCATTTCACAAAACGCCACAGCATTTCACAAAACACAACAGCATTTCACAAAACGCTGCAGCATTTCACAAAACACCGCAGCATTTCACAAAACACCGCAGCATTTCACAAAACACAACAGCATTTCACAAAACACCGCAGCATTTCACAAAAGACCGCAGCATTTCACAAAACACAGCAGCATTTCACAAAACACCACAGCATTTCACATTGGACGGAAAGGGTATTCCTTTAGGGAGAACACTTCTTGTTTATGATTGGACAGAGCCAGCCAGAGAAGCACTGCTGTGATTGGTTGTTTTTGCTGCCAGTGAAGAAATGACGCTTCGTGATATATTTTGTCATAGACAAACTGGCACGGTGAGTATAAACTGAGATTTAAAGGGTCGCAACCAATGAAAAATGTGGGCGTGTCCTATTCAGTTTTTTCTCGAAATGGAAGGGTTAATACCCGTATTACTTATCGAAACTGCACATACAATATATCCGATTAAAGCTGAGACTCCACAGATTATTTAAGTATAGTATCTAAGCGATCCGATCTCGCAACAGGGGAAGCAAACACAGACATCACAACACGTACCTTTTACGGGAGATTGTCTCACCGTAGCTGTCAATCTGATCAAAATACGTGTTCAATGGCATTAAAACGAGAAAAAAGCGGCTGAATCGGTTGATCCATAGGTTGATAATGTATATGTGGCTTTGAACAATTGTTTATAATCCATAATTCCATTTTTATGTAAAAATCGGAGCACGGTTTTGGCTACTCTCACTCCTTATTTGGTAATGTGTGTATGTTACACTGCGCTGGACTGCCACATAGCCAAGACCGGAAGCAGCAGCCACTCTGGTGGCTACCATTAGCAGCTAACTTTTGCTCTGCGATTTTTACATAAAAATGGAATTATGGCTTATAAATGAAATAATTATTTTATACAGAGACGTTAAAAACCTATGGATTAACCGATTCAGCCACGTTTTTTCTCGTTGTAATGCCATTGAACACGTCTTTTGATCAGATTGACAGCTACGGTGAGACATCTCCCCTAGAAGCTACGTAAAGGTACGTGTTGTGATGTCTGTGTTTGCTTCCCCTGTCCGAGTTCGGATCACTCAGTGATGATACTATATACCTAAATAATCTGTGGAACCTCAGCTTTAATCGGATATCTTGTATGTGCAGCTACGATAACTAGTAATAAGCGTACTTTTATCTTGAGTTCTGTGCCAAAGTGCGTTAGCATTTTTGCTCAGGGGTCATTTAGGGTCTTCTTATGAGACTTGTGTTTTGTTTTAAATGGTTTGTATCGTCAGTTAGCTGAGATTATTTCCGTTAATCTGGTATAACAAATTAATAGGTTCTTAAATATTAAGATCCCCTGAGACACAGTGTCGTGAAAAAAAAAAGTAAAGGACCCGCCGGGACTTAAATATTACGTTAAAAAAACCGCAATATATACAATTTTCACCCCTTTTCTATGGTTCTTCCAAAAGTTAACTTAAACTTTTTCTGACTCTGGAGGAATGTAAGGAGAGTTGTCAGGGGACTCTACCCGCCTTAAGAGAAACTATTTTCAGATACAATTTATCGATTTTAACCCCTTTTCTATGGTTCTTCCAAAAGCTAACTTAAACTTTTTCTGACTCTGGAGGAATGTAAGGAGAGTTGTCAGGGGACTCTACCCGCCTTAAGAGACACTATTTTCGGATACAATTTATCCATTTTCACCCCTTTTCTATGGTTCTCCAAAAAGTTAAATTAGAGTTTTTCTTACTCTGGAGGAATGTAAGGAGAGTTGTCAGGGGACTCTACCCGGGTTATGAGGCACTATTTTTGGATACAATTTATCCATTTTCACCCCTTTTCTATGGTTCTTCCAAAAGTTAACTTAAACTGTTTTCTGACTCTGGAGGAATGTAAGGACAGTTGTCAGGGGACTCTACCCGCCTTAAGAGACACTATTTTCGGATACAATTTATCAATGTTCACCCCTTTTCTATGGTTCTTCCAAAAGTTCACTTGAACTTTTTCTGACTCTGGAGGAATGTAAGGGGAGTTGTCAGGGGACTCTACCCGCCTTAAGAGACACTATTTTCGGATACAATTTATCCATTTTCACCCCTTTTCTATGGTTCTTCCAAAAGTTAACTTAAACTGTTTCTGACTCTGGAGGAATGTAAGGACAGTTGTCAGGGGACTCTACCCGCCTTAAGAGACACTATTTTCGGATACAATTTATCCATTTTCACCCCTTTTCTATGGTTCTCCAAAAGTTAACTCAGACTTTTTTCTGACTCTGGAGGAATGTGAGGGGAGTTGTCAGGGGACTCTACCCGGGTTATGAGACACTATTTTTGGATACAATTTATCCATTTTCACCCCTTTTCTATGGTTCTTCCAAAAGCTAACTTAAACTTTTTCTGACTCTGGAGGAATGTAAGGAGAGTTGTCAGGGGACTCTACCCGCCTTAAGAGACACTATTTTCGGATACAATTTATCCATTTTCACCCCTTTTCTATGGTTCTCCGAAAAGTTAACTTAGAGTTTTTCTTACTCTGGAGGAATGTAAGGAGAGTTGTCAGGGGACTCTACCCAGGTTATGAGGCACTATTTTCGGATACAATTTATCCATTTTCACCCCTTTTCTCTGGTTCTTCCAAAAGCTAACTTAAACTTGTTCTGACTCTGGAGGAATGTAAGGAGAGTTGTCAGGGGACTCTACCCGCCTTAAGAGACACTATTTTCGGATACAATTTATCCATTTTCACCCCTTTTCTATGGTTCTTCCAAAAGTTAACTTAAACTTTTTCTGACTCTGGAGGAATGTAAGGAGAGTTGTCAGGGGACTCTACCCGCCTTAAGAGACACTATTTTCGGATACAATTTATCCATTTTCACCCCTTTTCTATGGTTCTCCAAAAAGTTAACTCAGACTTTTTCTGACTCTGGAGGAATGTGAGGGGAGTTGTCAGGGGACTCTACCCGGGTTATGAGACACTATTTTTGGATACAATTTATCCATTTTCACCCCTTTTCTATGGTTCTTCCAAAAGCTAACTTAAAGTTTTTCTGACTCTGGAGGAATGTAAGGAGAGTTGTCAGGGGACTCTACCCGCCTTAAGAGACACTATTTTCGGATACAATTTATCCATTTTCACCCCTTTTCTATGGTTCTTCCGAAAAGTTAAATTAAAGTTTTTCTTACTCTGGAGGAATGTAAGGAGAGTTGTCAGGGGACTCTACCCAGGTTATGAGGCACTATTTTCGGATACAATTTATCCATTTTCACCCCTTTTCTATGGTTCTTCCAAAAGTTAACTTAAACTTTTTCTGACTCTGGAGGAATGTGAGGAGAGTTGTCAGGGGACTCTACCCGCCTTAAGAGACACTATTTTCGGATACAATTTATCCATTTTCACCCCTTTTCTATGGTTCTTCCAAAAGTTAACTTAAACTTTTTCTGACTCTGGAGGAATGTAAGGAGAGTTGTCAGGGGACTCTACCCGCCTTAAGAGACACTATTTTCGGATACAATTTATCCATTTTCACCCCTTTTTTTATGGTTCTCCAAAAAGTTAACTCAGACTTTTTTCTGACTCTGGAGGAATGTGAGGGGAGTTGTCAGGGGACTCTACCCGGCTTATGAGACACTATTTTCGGATACAATTTATCCATTTTCACCCCTTTTCTATGGTTCTTCCAAAAGTTAACTTAAACTTTTTCTGACTCTGGAGGAATGTGAAGGAGAGTTGTCAGGGGACTCTACCCGCCTTAAGAGACACTATTTTCGGATACAATTTATCCATTTTCACCCCTTTTCTATGGTTCTCGAAAAAGTTAACTTAGAGTTTTTCTGACTCTGGAGGAATGTAAGGAGAGTTGTCAGGGGACTCTACCCAGGTTATGAGGACACTATTTTCGGATACAATTTATCCATTTTCACCCCTTTTCTATGGTTCTCCGAAAAGTTAACTTAGAGTTTTTCTGACTCTGGAGGAATGTGAGGAGAGTTGTCAGGGGACTCTACCCGCCTTAAGAGACATTATTTTTGGATACAATTTATCCATTTTCACCCCTTTTCTATGGTTCTTCCAAAAGTTAACTTAAACTTTTTCTGACTCTGGAGGAATGTAAGGAGAGTTGTCAGGGGACTCTACCCGCCTTAAGAGACACTATTTTCGGATACAATTTATCCATGTTCACCCCTTTTCTATGGTTCTCCAAAAGTTAAATTAGAGTTTTTCTTACTCTGGATGAATGTAAGGAGAGTTGTCAGGGGACTCTACCCAGGTTATGAGGCACTATTTTCGGATACAATTTATCCATGTTCACCCCTTGTCTATG